CCCGTTTTATTATTTCAGTATTGGTGGGAGAGGGGTAGGGGGTTGTGGGTGAGTGGGTGGGGTGCAGGCGACGCCCCGGGTCGCGACGGGATGGACAGGGAGGTATATTTCATTTGGCGGCGACAGGAGCTGCTGATGGAAATATCGAGAAAGGGATCTGCGGGTCGCATTGTCCCCATAACGCTCCGAGGCTTGCCGCTTTTGCCCTTTTTTTCGCCACCGCGCGGCGGGGGCTCGGCTTGTCTGTCTCGTTGTCGCTGCGGCCCTTTGTTTCATTCTCATACACATTTTCCAGTCCAGCCGCGCGGTGCGCTGCGTTGCGTCGCGTCCAGACCCACGCTCACGCTCCACGCTCCACGCTCCACGCCCCACGCTCCACGCCCCAGGACCCCACGCTCCACGCCCCGCACCTCGCTACCCGCACCTCGCTACCCGCACCCTGTACCGACGCCACCGCTGCGCTGCCACTCTACTGTCGCCGTCATTGTCGCTTCCTCCGGCCTCCCATGATGACTCGCGTCTGTTTGCTCGCGCGAGAGAGTGCCTGTCGGGGCGCGGCTCGCCGCGAGGCACTGCCGGCGACCCGCTCACCTGGAAACAGTTTCCCTCCCCCGCGATACATCATCTCGTTTACTCTGACCGGATGAGGAAAACCAAACGCGGTAGCGACGACGGTGGCTGTTCAATATGACGCCCACTCGGCCGTGACGTTGCTTGTGAGCTTGTTGGTGAGCCGAGGTGGCTGTCGTGGTGGGGGTGATAATGCATTACGGTGATTGCGGCACAGTGACGCATCGCTCCTAGCGGTGCGAGGGCAGAGAGATCAAACACAAATAAGTCGTCGACGCGGTCCGCTTATCGCTTATCGTCCTCGTGATGCTGCGGTACAGGGCCGGCGGGCCACCCGCAAGGCTGTGACGGCGGCGGCGGCCGGCGGCCTACGCAAGCGCTGACCGGCGGTATCTGTCGCGCCTTGATGAGTCCATGCTGCTGAGGCTGAGGCGCCGCCCCTGCTGCTGCTGCCGCCCCGGCCGCCGGGCCCCGTCGGTCGTGGTCGCGCTTCGTCTCCGACTGCCTTTTGACGCCGTCTACAACACACTCCCCGTCGCCCTTCATCCGCTTCGGCACGCCACCCGGATCGACGGACGGAGCACCAGAAGCCGCAGACCCTCAGAACGACAAGCAGCAGCAGCAGCAGCAACTCGACCAGCAGCAGTGGCGGTACGGTACGGTGTCCACGATCAAATGGGCCCATTAAGATGACGGCTCGGATTATCTCGCCGCAGGAGGGGGGCGGGTCCGACGGCGACGCCTCGACACCCCCGCCATCCCCGTCGCCGCCGCGTTATATGCCCCCCACACCCGGCCCGGCGGTTCAAACGAAAGCGAAGCATTTGAATGCAAGGCACGCCGGCCGGAGGGACAGTGCTTCCGCCGCGCCCCCTCCCTGCGGCACTACCGAGGGTGATAAGCTTTCCTGACCCC